AATTACAAATGAGAGGAGTAAAATCGAACACATTTATCTATAACGATCATCAGCAACAGTCAATGCGCACACCCGCGCTTGCGCAACTCGCTATTATTTGTCGATGCATTTTGCTCGCCCCGGCTCGGCGAGCCAATATTGATGTTCAAGTCAAGTTATCAAATACAAATTCGTACTTTTTGCCGTTGCATACGGTCTTAAAAAAAAACGGTCGCAGATCGAGATGATTGTCAACTGATACGTGACCAGCTTGAGCTTTCACACACGATGATACATTTACGCCGCTGACAATACGCATACCGAAGAGCGAAATTGAAGTAACTATAAGAAAAAACATCCGAAAAAATCACCATGTCGTCGAGTTTCTTCGCACCAGACGTCCACATTAACCAGGCATACACGCGAATTTTTATGCGAGAAACTCTTCTGATTGAGCAGTAAACAGGCCAATGTGCGATTACAAACGAGCACTCTTGACTGCTGCCAGCAGGGGTGCCCCATTTTCAACGATCCATTCAAATCTATCAGAAACGCTGCGTTAAATCGGAAAATGTTTCAGACAAAAGTCGCATGGCTTAAAGGAGCACATAGGACAGCGATATCGTTTTGTTTACAGATAGCGACACTTTTGAAATATTTACTGATTATTGCTTTTCTTCAATGGAAATCTCAATTTTTTATTATATTATATTATTTTATCACTTAATTTGAGCAACTTTCATGCGAAACATTTTTTCCTTGCCTAATATTTTCTTAAATATTTACGGAAAACTCTTTCAACATTTAACTTATGATATATCGCTAACTATTTGTCGGAAGAAAAAGTTTTAAACTTTTTTATTCCATTTGGTCCCTTGAATATATTGCTACAATAGTGCCATAATTTTTTATTAACTTGTCGACCTTTGGAAATTGCTATATCGTCAAATTAACAAAAAATTAGGGCACTATTGTAGCAATATATTCTAGAGACTAAATAAAATACAAAAGTCTAATATCACTTTTTCTTTCGACGAATAGTCAGCAAGATATTATAAGTTAAATGTTGAAAAAGTTATCCATAAATATCTAAAAAAATATTAGTCAAATACAAAAATGTGTCAAACAAAAGTTGTTCAAATTAAGTGGTAGAAAAGGATAATATAATAAAAAATTGAGATTTCTGTTCAAGAAAATTATAATGATCAGTGAATATCTCGAAAGTAGCGCTATCTGTAAACAAAATGATATCGCTGCTTTATGTCCTCTTTTAGGTCATACAACTTTTGTCTGAAACATTTTTTATTTGCCTAATATTTTCTGAGATATTTGAGTGGATCCTTTAAAATAGGCCACCCATGTTCACGCACGTTCAACAGGCACGCGCGATATGAGGATCGAATAATCATCGGAGGATCGTAATGATGTCAACATCGTTGACTCGATTGAACGATTCGATACCGCGGACAGCTCGCGCACGAGAATTCAGACCAAACACAAACTCGCTTGGCGCGTTTTCGTCTTGAGCAAAACATATGCATCGCACGAAATAATCGGCTGATACTGTACGGCATCGTCGGAAGAAATGTATACTACGTCCGCACCAATTCCCCTGGTTATTGGCGCATCGCGCTCACGCCGCTATTGAGAAGAGTACGAGATCTTAGCGTTAGCTAAAACTATTCGAACGCGGTCATACCGTTGCATCACCATTGTCTTCTTGCGACGACATTGCGAAGAAATAGTAAAAAAATTGTGAAACACAAATAATAGCGTATGTGCTAAGAACACACGAACAACATGAGCAACAACGCTATAATAATGGACGGTGAAGCGTTCGCGCAATCGATACGTCTTTCGCATCGAGTGCCGAACGAGTGGCGCGACGCACTCTTTCGATTTCTGCGAAACAGACCGCTCGACACACTGTATTCATTTGTATTTGCGCAGAGTTTTATCCCAACATACGGATTATCAACCGAGACATCGGCGCAACCGTCAATTAGCTCTTTCGGGGCGGCTCGCGAACTGTTTGACCTGATGGACGATCTCGTGAGAGACACGGACTCTTTGAACGGATCAGAACTCGAACGTTCTCGATGTTTCGACATGAACATGTTCGCTAGAGCCAACGATCAATACGTACGCGAAATGCGACATATATTTGAATTGATCGAGCGTCACGATACCGATGTAGCATCAGCGGCTACAAACGGTGGCACCACCACCACTACTACCAACGTGCCGAATGCCAAGGAGACGAACAAGATACATGCGATGGAAGATTCGCGCGAGATCGAAAAATTATTGGCTGAAGTGAACGCCGCCACACAATTGCCACTCGCCACGAACTTGTTGTTTTCAGAATTTATCTCCAGATTCGACGTGGCGCCTGAAAGAACGAGTGCGATCCCCTCGTTTGATCGTTCGTGTGTTGATCACAATCGTAAACCGAATAGTGGTGGCGATCGCCATGCGTTCAATGACGAGTTTAGCGTATTGAAGGCGTACGGTCGTTACGCTCCAATGCACATTCGTTACCGTTCGCTCGAGTCGTTGGTCGATTCGATATGCGTTAACCGAAACATTCGAATCGAGCCACTGTATTTACCGGCTGGCGGTGTGTGGCAACACGGTACTTCGCAATTACTCTGGATCGTGTTACACACCATCGCTGCACTGGTAACGAGTCGTGGACAATTGTACATTATGCGTTTCGTAACACTATTGAAGAATCTATCCTTTTTCATAGGATGCGTCGAATGTAATGCTCATTGGCTTCGTATCGGCGGAAACGAGTATTTTGCTTACACTTCCTCGCTATCGCGCAACACGCTTCTTCGTTTACCCATCGACATTCTCTTACTCAGATGTCACAATTCGATCAATGTCGGATGGCGAGGAATAGCGCGAACATTTTCATCTTGAACTTTAGCTCAACTGGTCATCGACTATCGGGAGTTTGCCGAACGCTTCGTCCTCCAACGCGAATGAAAACCGTACGATCGAAGACGTGGTTACGGACGCGACAAATCTATTACCTCGGCGAATTCATCGTTCGAATATGATCGTTTTCTAGCTGAGGCGACAACCAATAATTTATTGCGACCTCTGTATCGAGCCAATGATGAAACGATCATGAGCACTCCGGACGCATCGTCTGTGCATCACGACGGACAACACACGATCTTACCTGAGAGTAACGACGGTGGCGCGGACGCAACAATAACGGTTTTGCGATTACGGATGTTCGACACAGCGCGCGAAATAACTGGTCAACGTTTATTGGCGCGACTCTAGCGGGACGTAGACGCACACTTTGATCCGCTCGTTGGCACATCGATCGCATTTTGAACGCTGTTGCGATATGCGCAAGAACAGCAATATTCGAGGAAAAGAAACGGTGAAGCAAAATGACGACTTGTTGGGGCGCTTCGTCTCATTGGAAAATCACGTAATGTTTGGACCAGAAATGTGCGCTGCATTCCGGTCCAAATCGAGGGCGGCGGAACAACAGGCGTTGCAGCTTTTTGATTCGTACGTTGCATTCCTACGTTGGGCAGGATCATTGGGTTGCCAGCATACGGGCAGAGTACGAGTAAAGCGGAGACAAACTCGAGCCAATGGCGAAGAAGCCACCGTGTTTCTGATGTATTTGGAATGCGATAAAGTTATTCGTCGTCAACGCAATTGTACAGAAGCGTGCAGCGGCGCGAAGACGCACATAATGTAATGTATCAACGTTAATGTTTTAACAAGAAACACGACGTATTTATTTATATCAACCAAATTATGTCAATACAGTCACCTCTCCCTGCAAAATGTACAAATTAATTAATCAAAAGTACGATGTAACCTTTTACAACGATAATATGTTTTTCGATATCAAGCTTGAGTTGTGAGAGTTCGATCAGAGCGAGTTCGGCGCAATCGTCTGAATCGCATTGAACAGATGCGGTGCCAAACGGCGCAGCGAAAGTTGCAGAGGCGCCAAATTTACCAATACTACCACCACCACCACCACCCGTGATAGCGGCGCTGATTAATACCGGTGCCTCCGCCGCCGCCGCCGCTGTCGCCGCCGGATGATTTGTACCAAGCAAGTTGAGACGTTGTGTTTTACGCGTTAGAGACAAGTTGAGAAATACGCGCAGGTATTGGTCATGGGATCTTGCCCGGGGAACACATCGTTACATACGAAATCACATACAATTTCATCGAGAATTCCGCTGCGATCGACAAATGTCTCCAATTTAAACTTTCGCTTCATGGCGGAAATCAACATGAACCCATGGACCCGATGGGTCATGCTTGCACCTTTTTGTTGGTACTTGTACGTCAAACGCGAGCGCAAATAATCTCTATGGGATTCGTCAAAAATACCATTCACAGTAGCGAATTTACCAGATTCGCGAATACCGTCGAAGAAGCCCTTGCGCATCATGGCTAAAAATTGTAAAAATATCTGCACGTGTGAGTCCAAACGTCCGATCAGTCTGTGCCATTTGCGCTGTTCAGTCAGAGAATCATTCTCAGATGGAAAGGAGAAAGACACAATTTGTTGACCTTCTTCGACGATATCTGCTGCGACAGTATTATCGTCAATGATCAGATTCATGTCGTCGACAAGAGCATCACTTTTGTTGCGGTGTGTTGCTGTTTCGCTACTGTTGCCATCGGCGTCGTTCGCTACGTAGTCCCAGTTGTTTTCATCGTTAACATCGTTGAATTGCTTGCGTAGCTGCTCCATCATGGAAACGGAGATGTTACACTTGCGCGAATGCCGTTTGGCGTGATCGTACACTTCCAAGACAGTTCCCTTGATCGAGTGCACCATCTCTCGTACATATCGCAGATAGTTTTCATTGGTCACACCAGTCTCACGAATGCATAAGTCTGCATCGAGGCGAGACAGTAAAGACCAACAGGTCAAATTCAACGTATAGTCCATTGCTTCAATCGCGCGATATGTGCTCAATGACTCCAAATTTTTTCCGTCGGAAAACTCCATTGTACACTCGTTACTCTTGTGTTTCATGCTCATCGAGTTCCACATATTGCCCAAATTGTTCCAAATTCGTCTGATATCTGCAGCGGCATCGCCTGACAGTGTCCAACTTTTCACCACCACCACCACCACCACCACCACGTTGATCATCGGTGGCAGCGGCACCGTCGTTACTGCCGCCGACGCCACCGTCATTGTCGACGCTATTGCCAACAGGTCGAACGCGTTCGAGCCGTTCCATGGTACGTTCTGACTTTTCAACAATGCGTTCGGTAGTAGCGCGTCCGCGTATGTTTCTCACAGGGGACCGATCGCGTTCCGTTCGATCGCCACGCTTGTTGGGGATGCGTACCGGCGGTGAGCGCCGACGTTTTTCAATTTTCTTGTCATTGCGATCGTCGATCGTATCGTCATTATCGCCATAGTCGTGGCTATTGTCAACAACAGCTCGTTTGTACGAAACAGATGGGCGATGATAGGACTTTCGGCCACGTGCGTTGCCCTGTTTTCGTTTCTCGTTGCCATTTTGTTCCTCGTTGTCGTTTTCTTCCTCGTTGTCGTCGTCGTCGTCGTCGTCATCGTCGTCGTTGAGCAGAAAAACGCGCCGTTTCTTGCGTTCAATTTGTCGCTGTTTCTGCTCAGAGTCGGTTCCCTCCCGATCGTTGCCAACATCGTCGCGATTATCTCGTCGCTTCCCAGATATGTTGTCCTTGCTCAATAGGTAACGGTCATCTTCCTCTCGTTTGGTATGCTGAGAAATATATCGATCGATGTTGGTCCACATGTCTTCCGAAGCGGCGGCGGTTGCAACGGTTGTGCTGCTGTTGCGTTTGTTGCGTGACATGTTCGAGAGTATAAGTAGCGTGAGGGTGCAGAGAGTGCGTATGAGTACGCGTTCGATGCGTCGCGATTACCAATAAGAGACGACTGACGTGTAATTGTACGAGTCGAGCCTGTTATATACCCTCTACGCACACACTTGACTCACTATATATGATCTTCCTAAGGGTGTGCAGCGCGTGAATAATCTAATAAACGCGTCACTGCTTTTAGCACTTGTTGCACACGCACGTCTAAAATAAGGAGGGACACGAGATAGATCGAAAGGTAGAGGTGGTGCTAAGAACCGATAAATAAATCTGCGCATCACGGCTTCCGCACAAAGAAATGTCGACGCAAGACTGGAAAAATACGGCCATAATCTTTGTCATCCTTGTGGTGATTGTTATCGTATTGGTTTTTTGGCTCGGACGAAACAACAACAGCAGTGGTAACGGTAGCTGGACCAATAGCAGCGGCAAAAAAAGCGGTAATTCGAGCAGATCGAGCGGTAGCGGCAAAAACGATAGTAGTAACGATGGCAGTGGCGACGACGGTGACGTACTGCCAAACCGTTCGCTTTCTCCTCCTCCGTCGTCGTCGTCGTCGTCGTCCTCTACGTTTGTTTAGCCGCTAAACCGCTGGATCCCTCTTGAGATCCACCAGTCGTCGCATACATGCGTGTTAACAAATGTCATTTTTCAGGTCATTCCGGAAAGAACAGCGGTGACAATACTGCGACTGCGACGACGGGGAATGCATCACGGCAGTAAAATTGAGCAATCGCTCAATGCACGCTGTTGTCCTAGTGTAGTAAGGTACGCCGCGACGATCAGAGCGTGTGACATTCTACATGCGTAGAGATGACGGAGCGCACACGCGAACGCGAACAATTTCGCGCGTCACGCAACTTGGATCTAGGTGATTCGATGCGCGACAATGATTTTAGCGTACGACGTAGTGCAACTAGTGAGCCAGAAGTTGAATTGATGGAGATGGATGAATCGCGCAATGCTAGCAACAACGGTAACGATGCTATTGAAAATTTCAAACAGCAGTTTTCACTGCCCAAATGGTTAACGCGCATGCGACCGGTGCCACGGACGAGCGCTGAGGTGTGCCAAAAGAACGTGCGTCGAGGCCGTAACTGCTGCTTGTTTAGTCCATTGCAGTACTGCAGGGGCCTCGATGTCATAAATGGGTTCTGTGTGTTTCACCTGCGCGCCTTGTTCAATCTCGTATACATAACAGACGCTCTATATCAGGTTAATCAGAATGGCGAAGCTGTGCTATGGCATCGTTCCCAGTGTTTCGTTGCGGATCCACGACCGATCGATGATCGATTCACCGGGGTGTTTCCGATTTTCGAACTGTTTGATCGGGAGCCCACAGCGAACAATATTCACCTGAGTAACTTGCATCGCTATTTACTGTCCGTCAAAGCGACCGACTGGCAACGAGTCTACTCGATGCGCGTAAACTTTCTGCATCGGTTGATCACGTTGCACGGTAACTTTGCGCTCGTGTTACCACCGACTCGCGAGGACCAACAGTTTGACAGTCAGCTCATCATGCACTGAAACCTATGGAACGAGTACTATAGCTGGCTTCTCGTGAAATATCCGGCATAATTGGGCCTGGCGTACTCGAACGGCTTGGACATTGTCAATATACCGGTGCATGCGTGCACAACTATTATGCAAATGATAGTACGCCTCTTCTCAACGTGTCACACGCGAATCAACGATAGTCGCTTCTACAGCCTTCCGTCCAATTACGGCATCATGGTGCGCGGCCATTTGGCGTACCAAGATAATATGTGTTCAAACGGCACGACCACCACCGAAAGTGGTATACACGCCTGCGGCAATCTGGCCACTCTGCCTATCCTCCGTTACGATGCGTATGAGACCCCGACTCTGCACTTTGACAGCGCGGTCAATTGCCACGAGAGCTTTTGTGTGAACGCCAAGGTAGACCACAAGAACAAGGGCCTGAGTCGCGCGATAATGGTCTCGGATAACGATGAGAGCGACGACACGATACTCCCCGTATCAGCTGTGCACACGTCGACTAGTAGTTAGCAGCGGCGGCAGTCGTCAAGCCGGTACGACGATGAACGGCTGTACAGTGGCCGATGAATATTTCGCGTTTCTCAAGACGCGTAAAGTACAAAGCGGCCACTTTTGAGCTCTTAATGAAATGCAACAGATGATCGAAGCGGTGGTAACTGTTGTGCACCTCAGCGTAGCCGTCGTGGCCATCGTTGCTCCACGATTCGTATATGACCGTTCGTGGATCGACGCGACTGTTGAAATATCTGCAAACAAACGGCTCGTCTTGAAAATTCATCGCGCCACTCGTATTCCGCACATTCTACGCATCAACGTCAATGTCAGACTGGGTGAGTACTATGGATAAAAAAGTCGAACAAATAAAGAACTCTTTTAATAAAATCTGTGTATTTTGTAAACAACTTTCAAACCCTTTTACAAGTGGTAGTTTACGAGGGCAGTCTGAAAAGTTCTCGGCCTAACAATGAAAAATTTTCTTGCCGTGAAATGTTTCATTTTTCAATATAATCTCCTGAAACTTCAATACATTTATTCCAACGTTTTGTTTCCAATAATTCAATACTATCATTAAAGTGGTGTGATTTCGAAAGGTTCTTTTCGCTCCGATGTATAGTGATGGATTCAAGTTTCATTAACAGTTACGAAACGACGCTTGAAATTCATTTTATTTTGCTTTTAAAACGACGACAAACACGCTTGAGGAATACGCATTCGAATGCGTTTTTGGTCAATTGTTAGCAAATGCGGCACCCGTCTTCCACAAAGCTTTTTCAGCTGGTGCTACTACTCGAATGATTTGACAGATCGAGTAAAATTTTACATGAGTTTATATCAGGGATGCCACTTCCCAATACAATTATAGTTTGACAGTTTCTAATTCCATGTATGGTTGAGAACTTTTCAGACTGCCTACGCAACATGCCCAGTGATAGTAACACGATAGCGTTTGATCTATGATAACGAATGTTTGCAATAATGCCCTCTGTACGATGTCAGTGAGCGTTAACGCTGCCATTGTTATGTTGCTTTCTTGCCATTCTTATTGTCTTGTCGCCGTGGGCACAGATTAGCTTTCACCGTGCATGAAATGTACCAAAAAAATCGTCAATACCGCGATCACAGAAGGTCACAACAACACATCGCACAGCATTCCGTTAAAGTCGCCGGATAAAGTCGCTCGAGCTGTGGTGGGGGTACATTGTATCTGATTGGTGGAATTTTCCCCATCATTCTGATTTTCGGCCAATGAACAAGCAAATCTTCCCCCTCTACTATACATGTTGTACACTTTTTCGGTACGTACCGAGCCGTTCCAGGCGCTCGCCGGTACTGTTGTACGTACCGTAGTACAGAGCAGTCAGAGGTACAATAGGACCAGGCGCTACTGCTCTGTACTCCGGTATTTTCCGTAACATATATAGAACGGGTGGTTTCTTGCGCGATCTCGCGCTGTCGATCGACTCGGCTCGATCGAACGAAGCCCGAGCGAATGCGAGCAATGCGAAAAGTGTATGCCGGGACTGCCTATAATACGGCGTAATTCTGAAGTCACGCTTCACCAACTTTTTGATGTGTTTGCACCGAGTGTTGCTGTTCAGCGACATCATGTTGCCATGTTGCATTGGCTCGCTATTATGTGGTAACAGAACGACATTAAAGTATCGAACGTCATGCAGATATGGTTGAGCTGCGAAGCGATCATTGAGTACGCTCTCGCGAAGATATAGCCAATCTCGTTTTGTCTCATTTTCGAGCATTGATGCGAAAAACATGCGCGCTACGATGTAGATGACAAGCACGATAATGACGCAAACGAGTAGCAATCTAACAAACTTGTAAGAAACAAATTCATCTGTTTCGTCGCGCAGAATTGGCCCACTCTTGGCGTTATGGCGATACGATGCCGTAACAAAAACTGGCCTGGTATGCGATATTGGTAATTGTGGTGCAGCATGGACAAAAGAGCTGGCAGCAGCTATATCCGAGTCGTCGGCTAGTGGAACCTTTGAAGCTGTTGTGCGCCAGCGTGTTACGTGGTCGTCATCGTTCTCCTTCGTTTCGTTGTTTATTGTTGCCAAAATCGCATCCGCTACATCCTTGGAAACTTCGAGCACTCGTCGAACTGCGCGAGTCCGTTCGATCGAATCGTTCTCGCGTTCGATGGTGGGATCTTTTGGCGCAATGTTGTCGCTGTAGTCGCGCTTGTCGGTCATATTGGGTATGTAAGAACTATTATATTCCAATTTAACCGCTCTTATCAAGTTCGACGGTAATCATCGGCCGGACGAGAAGCCACAATAACGTGTACGAACAGCGATGAAACATACCATTCGTAACAATAGTAGCGTAATGGACTTGAATAGTGCGGCGCCGTTTGTAAATTCGCGCATATTTCAACATCTCCACAACTTGGCGCCGGGAACCTTTCCGCGCGTGCTCGAAGAAGGCGTCGCATCAGCATTCGGAGTACAAGGCAAATCTCCGGTAATTGACGCGTTCGAGTACATTTACACCGCTTCTCGCGACATGCTCTATTGTCACGACAAGAGGTTACCGAAGGTACTTCGTGATTTGTACAAAGTTTTTCTACTTTCCAAGAATGCACAAATTTGTCGAGACATGAGCGTAGTGCTCAATTTGGTTCACCGTTCGGCCAGTCGTCTGTTATTTTGGAAAGACGCGATCGCTCTGGCTACGGGCATGATCGCAGCTCATGTTTCTCAGTGCATTCCGCTGGATCGAGGGATACGTTCGGTCGACATAACGATCGACGACGTTTTCAATGACGTTGCGTACCAATTGAACGGTAGTGACATTAGCGTGATAACACGCAACGGTGAATCTACGTATGAAAATCCGTACATTCGAATGCTTCGCACGACGATAATAATGATTGTGCGCGAGTACGTGGGGCATGGAGATCGTGAGTTATTCAATTATAAACCAATGT